ATGCCAGCATTAGGCTTCCATGTTCCTGTCCCTGTGACGTCGGGACGTATAGGCAGCAAATTTGAAATGTTTAAAAAATTTCATTTTTTTAAAAATGATTATTACATAGTAAAACATTGCATTTCACATACATTTTGTCCCTACTGCTTTGTCCTGTGCCCTGCCTGCATTTTGACTGTTCTTTCTGCCTGGAAACTTAGAAACGTCCATGGCGTCCAAAAAACGTCCCTTTAGGGCAAAAGCGGTTTTAGACCAGCTAGAGAACAGCGATAGTAAATCAGAACCACTTGCAGAATTGAGTGATGATTAGTGGGGAAATTCGTCATCAGACACTGAAAACGATTTTGCAACTTTGCTCAGCGATGTGCGAATTTGCCTCTGTATTTCAAATTTCTGTGTTTTTGGTTTGATTATATTATTGAATTAAATGCATTATTATTGTATTATTTTTTATGATTATTTATTAAATTATATTTTATGATTTCGGATTTCAAATTTTATCATACCCGGGATGTTTACTAGACTCTTGTTCGTACAGATTTCAGTGAGTTATTCCTAAAAATTACAGCCTACAATAAAAAAACTACATATTTCCATGCAAAAAAAATGGTACCGCTTTCAGCACAAAAAAAAAAAATCAGAAATAATCATACCGCCGAGGAGGTTAAACAATGATAGTGTTCCTACATTTTTATATGTTTTAAAAGCTCTTATTATTTAGAGATTTTTTTTTTTTTTTTTTTTTTAAAACTTTGGACATGGGCCACATAGGTTTTATTTCTAGACTTATACTTTTTGCCCATAGAAATGTATTTGCAGTGAGTTCACATACAGTCCTTTTGAAGAATTCCCTTTTCTGTTCATCGGTGCTAATATTCCCTCCCAATCTAAGTCTTGGAAAATTTGCTCTTAAAGTTGTGTTTTTTCCTTCCCCGACCACCAGTCCATTTTTTGCGATACAGCGCTGTGTCAATTTGACAATTGCTTAGTAGTGCAATGCTGCACCCAAATCAAATTTATGTCCTTTTTTCTCCCACATATATTCAGTGGTGTTTGATCACCTGTGCATTTAATTTTTGTGCTATAAACAAAAAAAGACCGACAATTTTGAAAAAAAAAAACCCTATATTTTTTACTTTTTGCTAAAAACATGTCCAGGGAAAAAAAATAAAAAACTAATTTCATCATAAATATAAGCCAAAATGTATTCTGCTACATGTCTTTGCTAAGAAAAAAAAATCCCAATACGTAATACGTGTAAATTAATTGATTTACGTGAAAGTTATAGCGTTTACAAATGGCGGTATATATACTGGTATTTTTAAAATTTTAATTTTTACTAGTAATGATGGTGATCAGTAACTTCTAGACTGCAGCATACATTCTGACACTGGAGGTAACTGACTTGGTGTCACTGACATCCCCAGTGACACCAATACAGTGATCAGTCCTAAAAAAAAAAAAAAAAAAAAAAAAAAAAGTGCTGACACTGTACTAATGGCACTGGGCAGGAAGGTTACTAGAGGGCGGTGTCAGTGTGCTTCACTGTATTCACACCGCTTTGGATGGCTGTGCACAGCCATCCAAAGCAGTGTGCCCGAGCTGACAGGAAGGAGAACTGTTAAGAAACAAAACAGTTCTCCTCCCCGTCTGAAATCACCGGGAGCCGGCGAGTAATCACCAGCTGGGACCTGGAAGTGCAAAATATACATGCATACATACATACACACAAACAAGTGATTTTGCACACCTATGCCACCCCGTAGCAGTATTTCTGCTATAGGGTGGTCAGGAAGTGGTTAAATACTCCTCCAGCCTTCTCATAAACCTCTCTCCAAGCACAGCAGACCCCCTTCCATTTAGGTGCAAACCATCTTTAACATATAGAGATTGTACCCCAATGAAAAGTCAGCCCAGTGCTCTAGAAACCCAAATCCTTCCCTCTTACATGACCTTTAGCCATGCATTCAGTTCTCTAATCTCCCGGCTTTCCTGTGTTGCACATGGCACAGACAATAGTGCAGTGTCTCCAATCTCCATGGAGGAAGACTTAAAAAGGATAAGTTCACCTTTATACAAAATAAAATAATAAATGCACATTTTTTTTGCAGGTAATAAAATGTGCATTTGTTATTTTTTGTTGCAGGAGCATGTAAAGCACTGCACCAGTGATCAGCAGATTACTGGTTCCATGCAGGGCTCCTGCAGATCTGTCAATATACTTGCTTGCCTGTACAGGATGTATGGGAAAGCAGACATACTGACAGGAAGACTCAATGAACTGGAGCAGCAACTCTTTAGATTGAAAATAAAGCTTGCCACAGATTACGGTTCTCCCCTCACCCCCGGTTCCTCTGCCCACACAAGTGAGGTGGACAGTGGGACCCCTCTGCCGTCAGACTACACTGATCAGCAGCTGAAGCTAATTGGCTGTAGTCACCAATTGACAAAACTTGTCTAACATTCCTGTTAATTCTGTTGAATGGGGACAGCCATGCATAGATTGATATTCAACCAGTCCCTGCTGAACCAGCCAAGTTTTAATCCACCTATAGCCAGGTGAAGTAATGTCCCTGCTATTTCCCCCCATTTTTGACTAAACATAGGCTTTCAGATTGGTATGTACAACTACCATAAGTCAGTGTTATGTGTAGGTTTGTATAACTAGCACTCTGCTTCTGCTAAAATGTCACTACTGCCAATATAAAGAGGGCAGCAGCCGTACAAGTCACACCTTACAAAACTAGATGGTTCTGTTTAACTACATATTTGGCAAAATACCAACACTTTGCTATGCCCTTTCCTGCTTAATGGAGGCAGGCCAATATTTATTGCTGTGTATACTACATAACTACATAAATAACATTTATGCAAGGTTTCATAGTTCATTAAGAAATGTTCACTTTATTTTAGTATGAACATATGTAAAAACACAATTGATAAATACATCATGCTCAAGAAAAACCATTTAGAACTACGTTCTTATATGATGGATCCAAAGAATTGTTTTCTTTAATTCCAGAGATGCAGGACATCTGGGAACAGCATGGAAACATTTTGAGGTTTAGACATGAAAAATATAGGACATGCAGTACTTTTTTTTTTTTTTAGTTCAGGCAATGATGGGTCCTCTTTCAGGATTTCAGTGTTTACATCCTGTCCATTCGCACAGTTTCCTGTTCTGATTACAACCAAGCAGGGAATGAAAATTGCCCAGCTTGCAGTTAACATGGATTTTAACCAGAGGCTGAAATCTCTAGTACAATGACAGTCCGTAAAGGCAAGGGGCTGATTGTTTTCAGATAGGGAGACAGAGCTCTTGAAAGACGTATTCTTCTGGAGGAAACATTGCTAGAGAGGTGATATACTAGTGTGGGAAAATATATTGCTAAGAGGAAAAAAAAAAACCACTACTTTAAGATTATACTTGGGGTGGTGAGATGGGCCAAAAATATCTACCGCTGCCTATCATACATCTGAATATACACAGATTAAAAAGTGTTCCTTTAATTTTATTTTTGAGCAGAGTATAGCATCAAGTCAATAACTCCGAGATATTGATCTTGTCAGTTAAGTAGCAGAGGGGGTTGTTAATTTCATTAACACCAAAGCAGCTGAAACTGATTAACAACAGGTGCACTAGATGGGCAACAATGAGACAACCCCAAAACAAGAATGGCTTTACGGGTGGAGGCCACTGACATTTTTTACCTACTCATCTTTTCTGACTGTTTTTCACTAGTTTTGCATTTGGCTAGGGTCAGTGTCACTACTGGTAGCATGAGGCGATGCCCGGACCCTACAGAGGTTGCACAGGCAGTCCAACTCCTACAGGATGGCACATCAATACATGCCATTGCCAGAAGGTTTGCTGTGTCTCCCAGCACAGTCTCAAGAGCATGGAGGAGATTCCAGGAGACAGGCAGTTACTCTAGGAGAGCTGGACAGAGCTGTAGAAGGTCCTTAACCCATCAGCAGGACCGGTATCTGCTCCTTTGTGCAAGGAGGAACAGGATGAGCACTACCAGAGCCCTACAAAATGACCTCCAGCAGGCCACTGGTGCGATTGTCTCTGACCAAACAATCAGAAACAGACTTCATCAGGGTGGTCTGAGGGCCCTACATCCTCTAGTGGGCCCTGTGCTCACTGCCCAGCACCACAGAACTCGATTGGCATTTGCCATTGAACACCAGAACTGGCAGGTCCGCCACTGGCGCCCTGTGCTGTTCACAGATGAGAGCAGGTTCACCCTGAATATATGTGACAGATGTTACAGGCAGCATAATGATTTCCATGGCTTCACCAGACCCTGTAACATCGTTCAGCATGACAGTTTTGGTGGTGGGTCAGTGATGGTCTGGAGAGGCATATCCATGGAGGGACGCACATACCTCTACAGGCTAGACAATGGCACCCTGACTGCCATTACGTATAGGGCTTAAATCCTTGGACCCATTGTCAGACCCTATGCTGGTACAGTGGGTCCTGGGTTCTTCTTGGTGCACGACAACGCCCAGCCTCATGTGGTGAGAGTATGCAGGCAGTTCCTGGAGGATGAAGGAATTGATACCAGTGAATGGCCCTCACGCTCGCCTGCCCTAAATCCAATAGAACACCTCTGGGATATCATGTTTCAGTCCATCCAACGACACCAGGTTGCACCTCAGACTGCCCAGGAGCTCAGTGATGTCCTGGTCTACATTTGGAAGGAAGTACCAGATCACCATCCATCGTCTCATTAGGAGCATGCCCCGACGTTGTCAGGCATGTATACAAGCACATGGGGTCCATACAAATGACTGAGTACCATTTTGAGTTGCTGCAATGAAATTTCAGCAAAATGGATTAGCCTGCTGCATCATTTTTTCACTTTGATTTTCAGGGTGCCTTTGAATGCAGTCCTCTGTAGGTTATATTACAGTGGATCCATCTTCAGACATTTGCCATTTTTTATCTTCCTCATGGAGGAAACGCAGTTACTTGATACTAAAAGGTCATGTCAATCTAGAGATCGCCAAAATTTTAGAACAAGAAGATGTTCTCTCCCTGCTTTTCTAGAAAGCAAATTGGATCCTTGTAATCCATATGACTTCAATTGTTCCACAATCTCATCTATAAATACACAAATACATATTATTTTGTACTTGACCACCGAAAAAACTATGTTCACATGCAATGCTACAGGTTAGACAGCCTTGATGTAAATCACTATTGTGACCTTTATATTTGCAGGAAATGATGCAAGCCAAACTATAATACATATTCTACTTAATATGGCTTTGTCTTCTGTGATTCTGTATAAAAATAAGAACTAAGACTAGCTGTACACTCATAATGCTAAATAGCTTGAATGGAGGAATCTTCCCTGCTGGCTGTTTTTAGGTATCCACCACCCAGGGCTATCGGAATACTCAAATAGCTACTGGATGCAGCCACTGTTTGGCCAACAATTTTCCACCTTGCTTCATCGATTTTTCACTTTTCTAAGTTTGTTGCTAACGGGGCAACCATGGCTCAAATTCTATTTTTTAGTATACAGGATTTAAATAATGCCAAACAGTTTGTGCAGTGCTTTACAAAGTATAGGTAGGCAGTGCAATTACAGTACAATTTAAAAACAATGAGATTAGAAGGGCACTGCTCCTCAGAACCTTTTTTATAGAGACCGTACAGTTCCAGTACATTTCAATAAAACTCTTCCCTGGAGAGGATCCCACTCACTTTTCAACAATTTTGTGTTTTCCTATGTTTTTAACCAGCCAGAGGTTTGGAAGCCTGGAGGGACAGCAGTTAAAGTATGACTAAAGGCAAACCTTGGAAAGTTTTGGATAGAGTGGAGATGGATTAGTGTCAGTTAGTGAAGGTAAATCTCCCTAGTGGGACACAGATTGCAAAACAAACTGAGAGGGCTTCTAACACTACCTTACGCTATACACAATTCAAAAATATTTTCATTTATAATTTAAAGTAGTAGAACTATAGCCAAAATGTATTTTTAAATAGTAAAAAAAAACAAAAAACAAATACAAAAAAAAAAAAAAAAAAAAAAAAAATGTATCCAGTGCCATCAGCAGTGCATAAAATACCTTTACTTCCTTCTCATTTCAAGAGCTAGCATTCACTGCTTTATCAGTCTCCAGTGAACAAAGCCCAATATCTAGAATGATGATTAGTCTGCACTGCACAAGCAAAAGCCGGGCATTGGTCAACAGCAACCAATTTAGATTGTTTCCGTTTGCTGGGCAGCAGCTCTGCTTCTTTGCAAGTTTTTCATAAATCAAATGCTGCTGTATTAGAATTGTCATAAAATGAAGTGCTATAAAATGATCTCACCTGGATTATTTTCTTTTAGAACTATAAGGTAGAATAATCCTTTAGGAGACAAGAGCTTAGGGACCAGAGGAAAAAATCTGTCCATAACTTCCCGGCCATTTTTACCTCCTGCCCAGGCAGCTTGTATTCCATTACCTCCTACCTGGAATATACAGAAGACATAGATTAGGAACATCAAGCTATAGTTTCAATTGTATCCGTTTCAAGCAATAGATAGAAAAAAGGGACAGTACAAGAAACTATGATGGGCAGATGTGATGAATCCTATTTTTTAACATTTTACCACAAAACACAGAGGTTTGATTTACAAACCATAGGACTTAAAAAAGTGGTATTAAACCAAAGCTAAAAATAACATTTATTTCAGTTTACCAATCATTAGATGTGGTGGCTGCATTTTTTTCCTCAGGCTTTTTTTTCCCCCGTTTTCACCTGGGGGGTCTGGCCAGTAACACACCTCCTGTATTAGCATGCCCCCACTCTGGATGAAGGCACAAGGGAGGACAAAAGACAGTAGCATTGTCAGTTTGGAGGTAGGGGAGCAGTAGCTGTACTAGCAGTTTTAGAAACACTAACAAATCGAAGTCAAACTCCAGCTCATACTTTATAAGCAGTTACAGTAAACAGTTTTTCCTTTTGGGATAAAGATTTTACCCAAATAAGAGCTGATCATTGTAAGCACCCCTGCTAGTGTTAAATGGTTTGTCTCATCTCTGTAACTGATACATTCTGCTGGAAAGCTTGTTCTTTTGAAAATAACAGATTTACTGGTTGTATCACCAGGTGAAAACAGAAGAATATAATGAAAGCCTAAAAAAGAAAATTAATGCAACCATCACATATAATAGAAAGCTGCAATATAATGAAAGGTTTGCTTTTGGGTTCAATACCACTTACAGTCAGGTCCATAAATATTGGGACATCGACACATCTCTAACATGTTTGGCTCTATACACCACCACAATGGATTTGAAATGAAACAAACAAGATGTGCTTTAACTGCAGACTGTCAGCTTTAATTTGAGGGTATTTACATCCAAATCAGGTGAACGGTGTAGGAATTACAACAGTTTGCATATGTGCCTCCCACTTGTTAATGGACCAAAAGTAATGGGACAATTGGCTTCTCAGTTGTTCCATGGCCAGGTGTGTGTTATTCCCTCATTATCCCAATTACAATGAGCAGATAAAAGGTCCAGAGTTCATTTCAAGTGTGCTATTTGCATTTGGAATCTGTTGCTGTCAGCTCTCAAGATGAGATCCAAAGAGCTGTCACTATCAGTGAAGCAAGCCATCATTAGGCTGAAAAAAAACAAAACAAACCCATCAGAGAGATAGCAAAAAACATTAGGCGTGGCCAAAACAACTGTTTGGAACATTCTTATAAAGAAGGAACGCACCGGTGAGCTCAGCAACACCAAAAGACCCGGAAGACCACGGAAAACAACTGTGGTGGATGACCGAAGAATTCTTTCCCTGGTGAAGAAAACACCCTTCACAACAGTTGGCCAGATCAAGAACACTCTCCAGGAGGTAGGTGTATGTGTGTCAAAGTCAACAATCAAGAGAAGACTTCACCAGAGTGAATACAGAGGGTTCACCACAAGATGTAAACCATTGGTGAGCCTCGAAAACAGGAAGGCCAGATTAGAGTTTGCCAAACGACATCTAAAAAAGCCTTCACAGTTCTGGAACAACATCCTATGGACAGATGAGACCAAGATCAACTTGTACCAGAGTGATGGGAAGAGAAGAGTATGGAGAAGGAAAGGAACTGCTCATGATCCTAAGCATACCACCTCATCAGTGAAGCATGGTGGTGGTAGTGTCATGGCGTGGGCATGTATGGCTGCCAATGGAACTGCTTCTCTTGTATTTATTGATGATGTGACTGCTGACAAAAGCAGCAGGATGAATTCTGAAGTGTTTCGGGAATATTATCTGCTCATATTCAGCCAAATGCTTCAGAACTCATTGGACGCCGCTTCACAGTGCAAATGGACAATGACCCAAAGCATACTGCAAAAGCAACCAAAGAGTTTTTTAAGGGAAAGAAGTGGAATGTTATGCAATGGCCAAGTCAATCACCTGACCTGAATCTGATTGAGCATGTATTTCACTTGCTGAAGACAAAAGTGAAGGGAAAATGCCCCAAGAACAAGCAGGAACTGAAGACAGTTGCAGTAGAGTCCTGGCAGAGCATCACCAGGGATGAAACCCAGAGTCTGGTGATGTCTATGTGTTCCAGACTTCAGGCTGTAATTGACTGCAAAGGATTTGCAACCAAGTATTAAAAAGTGAAAGTTTGATTTATGATTATTATTCTGTCCCATTACTTTTGGTCCCTTAACAAGTGGGAGGCACATATGCAAACTGTTGTAATTCCTACACCGTTCACCTGATTTGGATGTAAATACCCTCAAATTAAAGCTGACAGTCTGCAGTTAAAGCACATCTTGTTTGTTTCATTTCAAATCCATTGTGGTTGTGTATAGAGCCAAAAATGTTAGAATTGTGTCGATGTCCCAATATTTATGGACCTGACTGTAAGTTTGTCTAGTTGCTGAGCCAATTTGAATATAGTAAAATGTAATATAACATGCTGAAAAATTTCACATATGTGCTGGTTTGCAGATCCAAACAACTACTGACAAGTATATAAAAACAGGCATACACTTATGTGAAGGAAAGGTTACTTCCTAGGGAGGGAGTTCAACATTTTTACTGCTCTAAAATGTAAAGAGCCCTTTCCACATTCTAAGATTTAGCCTCTTTTTTTTTTTTTTACCTCAAATCATGGCTACTTGTCCTCATTCTTAGAGTAAACAGTTTATTACAGTTACTGGAGTCACTGTTGGTATATTTTACATTGTAATCATATTTCCTCTTAAGCGCCTCTTCTTCAAACTAAATACCGTATTTTCCGGCGTATAAGACGACTTTTTACCCCTTGAAAATCCTCTCAAAAGTCGGGGGTCGTCTTATACGCCGGTATACGGCATATTGACGCTTTTTAGGGGGGGCGGCACGGTGCTGCCGCCGCCCCCCCCCCCCCCCCTTCCAACGGAAGGGACACTAAGTACAGGGGTGGGCAGGGGCAGCTGTTTCTTACCTGGCTCCGGTCCCACGACGATCCGGTCCAGGAAGCGCGGCTGCTCCTTCAGTTTGGCCACTGGATGTTCGCGCGGCTGCTCGGCTCCGCCTCCTCCTCTGGCGGTGATTGGCCGCCAGAACTGTAAAAGGAAAGGCACACAGGCGGCCAATCACCGTTGAGGGGGCGGAGCCGAGTGGCCCCGCAAAAATCGAGTGAAGGAGCGGCCGGTAAGTGTGCTGTCCAGAGGTGCTGCTGCAACCACATATGCTGGCTGCAGCAGCAACATACTAGAACATCGGTCAGCAAGTGTAATTGGTGTCAGTGGGAGGAATAGTGCCCCATCATTGGTGTCACTGATACCAATGATGGGGCACTATTCCTCCCCCCACTGACACCAACCATGGGGCACTATCCCCCCCCCCCCCACCAACGATGGGGCGCTGTTCCTCCCACTGACACCAAATATGGGGCGCTATTCCCGCCACTGACACCGATGATGGGGCACTATTCCTCCCACTGACACCGATGATGGGGCACTATTCCTCCCACTGACACCGATGATGGGGCACTATTCCTCCCACTGACACCGATGATGGGGCACTATTCCTCCCACTGACACCGATGATGGGGCACTATTCCTCCCACTGACACCGATGATGGGGCACTATTCCTCCCACTGACACCGATGATGGGGCACTATTCCTCCCACTGACACCGATGATGGGGCACTATTCCTCCCACTGACACCGATGATGGGGCACTATTCCTCCCACTGACACCGATGATGGGGCACTATTCCTCCCACTGACACCGATGATGGGGCACTATTCCTCCCACTGACACCGATGATGGGGCACTATTCCTCCCACTGACACCGATGATGGGGCACTATTCCTCCCACTGACACCGATGATGGGGCACTATTCCTCCCACTGACACCGATGATGGGGCACTATTCCTCCCACTGACACCGATGATGGGGCACTATTCCTCCCACTGACACCGATGATGGGGGCACTATTCCTCCCACTGACACCGATGATGGGGCACTATTCCTCCCACTGACACCGATGACTGGGCACTATTCCTCCCACTGGTGTGCATTGGAAGAGGGGTAGTCTTATACGGCGAGTATAGCCCAAACACTACATTTTAGCAGGAAAAGTAGGGGGTCGTCTTATACACCCAGTCGTCTTATACGCCGGAAAATACGGTAACTGTAAAATATGTTATCGATCCCCATGGTTGAGGTCTTCCTTCCTCCTTATTAATAAGTATTGCCCATGGCTGAATTGCATATTGAAGAGGAGGGACCAGTTTTTTTTGTCATTTCAGGAATGTATGCCCTTATTAATGCACAGGAGTATTTTGCTAGCTTGTCAGTTGTGGCTTGGCATTGCATTCTATTGCTAAGTGATCTCCAAGCATCCCCAAATCCTATTGAGCATCACCAATTCTCCCAGGGAAGCCAAAAAAGAAAAGTGCCATCCAAGTTGATACGATAACCGTATCTAGAAATAGTATCTCCGACTCACTTTGAATATAAGTGTGGATTATAAACCTAAATATACTGGAACACAGAAAAAAAATGGCAGTTGACTAGTGCAAAACCGCCTTAAAAAAGTGGTTAATTGAAATCCTATGCGGAGTAATGAATGGAAATATCCTCCTGCGCTTGGTATGGGTGAGTCCCTATCCTAACAGCTGCTATCACTCTGCCTTAACCAATAAGTGATAAAATATCAAACACAAAAATAGTGAAGCGCTAGAATGAATCCCTAAATACGCACACAGTGCATATAATATTAAATGAAAACCATACCTCATAAATAAAATATATCCGTGACATAAAAAATATATATCAATAGAAAAGCAAATATATAAAGAAAATCTTTTTCTTGCCCCTAAATTATTTCTTCAAATCAAACATTAATAGAAAATCCATAATAATGCGAATAAATAGTGATGAAAAAAATATATATATATAAAAACTGTGTTAATTAACATATATATATATATATGTGATAATTCCAATAATAAATGTGACAATAAAAAATATGAATAGTGAATCTCAATCAAATATACGTGATTGATGTGAAAAAACCATATATTAAACTATTACATATAAAAAAATCCACTGAAACTTGTGATGTTTAAATATAAAAAAGTGTCCATAAATGAACAATCACAGTCCATGCAATACGGTGAAAACGACACTCAGTGTTCTTCACTTCTAGTGCTCAAAAAAAGAAAGGGAAGAAATCCTCCAATGGCAGCAATGCCTGCTCACCTCCCCAACTCGTCCCGCAAAGGGCCACAAGGCTATAACTCTCCTCCAGGTAATCCTTTGCTTCCAAGCAGCTCAGTAAGGAATCACAGGACCTCCTCTCCACCTCATGCGTTTTGTTAGTAAAATGCAGTCCTCCTCATTCCCTAGGTGCATTCACATGTAAATAGGGAAACCAATATGGTCGCTGTGCTCGGACATCCGTCCCCACGTGACCGGAAATGATGTGTCTCTGGGCTGGGAAAAACGTTCCGACGCGTTGCGTCACGTGCGTCGTGACTTCATCAGGGTTGTCACTGATGAGCACTGACATAAGGCACTGATGGGCACTGATCATCAGGGCACACTGATCATCAGTGCCCTGATGATCAGTGTAGATGTCCCATCCGCGGAAAGCCAGTTACCGGCTCTCCTCTCCTCACGAGCTGTCAGCGTGACAGCTCGAGAGGAGAGAAATGCCGATAACCGGCATTTCCCTGTTTTACATGTGATCAGCTGTGATTGGACACAGCTGATCACATGACCGAGCTGACATCTTCGGCTCTTTCCTTGATCGGTGATCCGCTGTGTCCAAGGGACAAAGCGCATCGCCGCGCTGCGCGCTCCCTGAGCCGCACATGCGCGGTGAGAATGGGAGGACATCATACGACGTCCTCCCAGAATAAGAGAACCACCTTGCGCCCGTCATTGGACTATATGGCGGGCGGGAGGTGGTTAATATGGAACTTTACTGCAGATGAATACAGATAGGAAATTCCATTGCCTCATATGGATTATTTTTGCCAATACAGCCAGTTTTGAAGACGCCGACCGGTTTTCTTTATTTTAATTCTTTGATTTTAATATGATTGCAACATGTTCACCCTGTCAGTGTCAACCTTTTTTCACTATCTATGTGATCGAATAAATACAATATCGCATCCACTTTTGTAGTGATATATTACTCCGCATAAGATTTAAATTAACCACTTTTTTAGGCGGTTTTGCACTAGTCAACTGACATTTTTTATGTCTCCCAGGGAAGCCCCTCCTAATGTGTGATCAGCATACAGTATGTATTTTTGGCACCCAAGTGTGTATCTACTAGCTGGAAATGTTCAGCCTGCTCTCCACTGTCACTTACAGTTAGAGAAAGTGGGAAATCTTTAATTAATGTAAACCCTCACCTAATAGAGATGAAAGTCAAAACATTTGTGCATAGATGTATAACAGATCACATACCCTCTAAGCTTCTTATGTAGCACAGAGAACAGACAGCTGGGGAGTACACTGAATTTTCCCAGTGAATGGCTGTATCAGCAGAAGTCTGATCATTGAAAGAGAGCACACTGGATTCCCTGCAGCGCTAAACACGCTTTGGTCTCCTGCCTAGTTTAGTCAGTTTTTAATAGGAAATCAGAGGGACTGGCAGGAAGACCAGGGATTTTGCCCAAAGGAAGCATTACAAAAGGAAGCAGGATACTTTTTCATACAAGCATATGGTACAGCAGGCACATATCGGGAATATGAAATGTTGGGTTTACATATTTTTTAATACACTGGTAAAACTTACTTCCTCGGAAGGTGTGACAACATAAGGGGGATTAAACAGAAGAAGAATCGATTTGGCCCTGCAGCCTTGGTAAAAGCCCACTGGCCTGTATAAAAGTAAATAAAATATTATTTTATTAGTGCTTTTGCACAAAGACAACAATAGTCATGTTTTTATATACAGTGCCTTGACAAAGCAATCATAACCCTTGAAGTTTTGTCATGTTACAACCAAAAACAAAATGTGTATTTGATTGGGATTTTTTGTGATAATCCAACACAAAGAAGCACATAATTGTGAAGTGGAAGGAAAATGATAAATGGTTTTTTGAAATGTTTTAACAAATAAATGTTTTAAAAAGTGTGGCGTGTATTTGTATTCAGCCCTCCTGAGTCAATACTTTATAGAACCACCTTTGGCTGCAAGTCTCCTTGGGATGTCTCTACCAGCTTTGCACATCTAGAGAGTGACATTTTTGCCCATTTTTTTCTTTGCAAAAATAGCTCAAGGTGTCAGATTGGATGGAGAGATTCTGTGAACAGCAATTTTCAAATCTTGCCACAGAATCTCAATTGGATTTAGGTCTGGACCATTCTAACACATGAATCTACTTTGATCTAAACCAGTGGTCTCCAAACTAAGGCCCGGGGGCCTAATGTGGCCCTTTGCCTGCCTTTATCTGGCCCTTGGAGCGCTATTGACACCAACAATGGGCCATAACTCCTGGCACTGACAACAATGGGGCACTACTTCTCCTAATGACAGGGCATTATTCCTTTCCTGATACCAAAGATTTGGCATTGTTAACTATTCCCACTGGACACAGCATGGCCCTCCTATAGTCTGAAGGACTGTAAACTGGCCCTTTGTTTGGAAAGTTTAGAGACTCCTGATCTAAACCATTCCATTGTGGCTGCATGTTTAGGGTTGTTGTCCTGCTGGAATGTGAACCTCCACCCCAGCCTAAAGTCTTTTGCAGACTCTAAACAGGTTTTCTTCTAAGATTGTGCCCTGTATTTGGCTCCATCCATCTTCCCATCAACTCTGACCAGCTTCCCCTGTCCCTGCTGAAGAAAAAGCATCCCCACAACATAATGCTGCCACCACGTTTCATGGTGGGGATGGTGTGTTCAGGGTGATGTGCATTGTCAGTTTTCCACCACGCATAGCGTTTTGCTTTTAGGCCAAAAAGTTCAATATTGGTCTCATCTAACCAGAGCACCTTCTTCCATGTTTGCTGTGTCCCTCACATGGCTTCTCACACACTGCAAAATGGGACTTCTTATGGTTTTCTTTCAACAATGGCTTTCTTCCTGTCACTCTTCCATAAAAGGCCAGATTTGTGGAGTGCAACGACTAATAGTTGTCCAGTAGACAGATTCTCACCACCAGAGCTGTGGATTTCTGCAACTTCGCAGAGTTACCATGGGCCTCTTGGCTGCCTCTCTGATTAATGCTCTCCTTGGCCAGCCTGCCAGTTTAGGTGGATGGCCATATCTTGGTAGGTTTGCAGTTGTGCCATACTCTGTCCATTTTCGGATGATGGATTGAACAGTGCTCCGTGAGATGTTCAAAGCTTGGGATTTTTTTTTTTTTTTTTTTAATAATCTAACCCTGCTTTAAACTTTTCCACAACTTTATCCCTGACTTGTCTGGTGTGTTCCTTGGCCTTCATGATGCAGTTTTCACTAATGTTCTCTAAAAAAACTTCTAAGGGCTTCAGAGAACAGCTGTATTCATACTGAAATTAAAATTACACACAGGTGTGGACTTTATTTACTAATTAGGTGACTTCTGAAGGCAATTGGTCTCACTAGATTTTAGTTAGGTGTATCAGAGTAAAGGGGGCTGCTGAATACAAATTCACTCCACACTTTCAGATATTTATTTGTAAAACATTTTGAAAACCATTTATCATTTTATTTCCACTTCACAATATGTGCCATGTGTTGACCTTAAAATCCCTATAAATACATTTAAGTTTTTGACAAAATGTGGAAAATTTCAAGGGGTATGAATACTTTTTCAAGGCACTGTACCTCTTTAGGGCATAGCAAAAGGCCAAACTAGGATGTGCACAAAATGGCAAAAGCTATTAGCCAATCAAACACCACTCTCCTACAGGACAGGCAGAGCTACTTGTCAATATACTAATGGTTTCCTGAAATTATTCAGCCAAGTAATCACCTTTGTAAATCTTTCACTAATCTTGATTTACAGCAACTGCTTTAGAACAACTCACACTGTGGAGATGAGAAACAAGTGACCTCTACACTGAATACATTTCAAACTAAGAACTAACTGCATATAAAGATGTCAGTCTTCCACCTGCAGGTCATCTGTACCCATTTTTTTGGAAAATTACAGAGGTTAGAGTCCTAAATGATTCTAACCTTTGTTAATGTGGTAGAGGATATTTTAGTACATGGAAAAACCATTACATAAAATACAGAGAGGAAAAAAAAAAAACAAAAAAAAAAAACCTTTCCCATGTCTTGGAATTAAATCCTCAGCCTCCTTTATGACAGACAGGAATACTTTTCACAATACTTACAAGAAAGTGCTTCATGCACTATATCCTTTGACTAGCTCGAGCACTACTTTTCTGCAATGTTTCTTCACTGTGTCAAAACAACAGTATTACAGCTAACTATCGCATTTCTATTGTTCTGCTTACAAGGATATGATGCATGCCATTTCTGGTAAATGCAATTTATAGAAAACCTTACTGGGAAAATACATCATTTTCTAAAATGTTACACTTGCAGAATGTATATATAACATCATTTTAGTTTTTGAACGAACAATAAACACAGTACCAGGTCAGTCATTTATAACTGGTTCAATGAGTACTTTGTTGTTGCGTGCTGTCTCAAGGGTACATGAAGCTGCCAAAGGGTTAACATCAGTACATCTGAAAGGGGAACACCGAGAATGCCATTATTATCTCTCTTCACACAACAGCAGGTTAAAAAAAAAAAGAACAAATACTAAAAAAAATGTGAAAAAACCCTCCTGCGCTCCTAAGTCCCTATAGATTACTAAAAAGGAGGAACAGCTGCCAACATCCAATCATATACCAAATGATAAGCGTGAAAAAAACAACTAAAACGATGTAGGGCTAATACCATAAGAACCCAAAAGCTTAAAATTAAATAATTTTTAAAGTGACAATGGAGATTATAATAAAATAAATTACATCAACATATGCAAAAACTAAATAAAATCCCAAAAAAATGACTAATATCATAAGAAAGCAATATGCAAATTTATAATAAATGCACACAAAAAACATATATGTGATTAATGCAAAGGAGGTGTCTATAACACACAATGCTAATGCAACAAAGTGCCAAAAAAGGTCCAAAATGAGACCAACCAACAACAATAGTGCCCCCAAATGATCCTAAACGGATCTAATACTGATGTAAAAACAGAAATACTGAACAAAGACACAAAGTCCAAACGGGACTAAACATAGAGGTGCTCCAACCCCCCAAAAACAAACAGTGCTCTAGGCACAAATCCCAAATAACATATAAACAACAACCACTGTGTCACTAATAAACACAGTGCATCCAACACTGCATATATAAAAAAGTGGAATGTGTTCAAAAATATAAACGCATAACAAATGCAAATAAAAACACATAAGTCCCGTGAGGTGAATAACACCTAAATATATCAAACGATGCACTCCTTGTGAGCGTTAACCCAAAAGGTGATGACAGGTGTAATGAAGATATCCTAAAAATGGCTGGAATGCCCGCTCACCTCCTTGTTTCGACCCACACGGGGCCAAAACACTTTTTAGGATCACTATACCGGATCCTTCATGCACGGGACTCCTCCAAACTCTCCACACTGATCTCCCCTCAAGTAAAGGCTCATAAGATTGTAGATCTCCTCTCCAGGCAGATAAGCAATAAGTGGCCACTCATTCCCTCATAAAATACAAGTAAACACTTCCATAGTGTAATACTGTTTATTAATTAAGTGTTCTTGCATGGCAAGACCACTTACTGTTATCTCACATATATATTCTTATTATAGCCAAATTTACCACCCTAACTCCTCCCACAGTTTTTACACTACATAGACAGTAATATACTGAAACGTTGCGGATTGTTCCCGATTGGTGTGCTATTACTTTGTGGAACGTTTCGCCGAATGGTTCACGAAATATCGGCGTTTTTGTGGTGAAATTGGTCCCATAGGAATGAATGGCGGAATGTTCAAAACTAGAGTGTGAGCTGAAATATCAGGACATGATTTCTAAACTGCAATCACTCCCTCATTTTCAAGCCCACCTACAGAAATCTTATATCAAAACGTTCAGCTATCCCTGCTGCCACTAAAAAAATGTGCACGGCTAAGCCATAGTCCCTGATAGTTTTCACAATATGACCATTTGTTTGCAACTCACGCCGCCCATTGACATTCAGTGAAACTCCACTCTAGCCACCTCAAATTTGAAGGGCAATTTCTAAACTGCGACTGTGCCTTCATTTTTAATATTTCAGAGACATACTATGCATCAAAATGTAGGTCTGGGTCTTGTGATTCTCCCAATATAAAGCTCTTCGCTGTAGGATTTATAGTTTTTAAAACTATGACCGACCATTTGAAGACGCCAGTGAAGTGAGCAATTTGGAGCAGTTTTGTTTTTAACCGCTCTTCTCTGCCCTATTTGAAATCTAAATTTTGAATTTGTGACAGTTTGGCCGGCTTCTGGTTAAAGGTTTGAAAGAAGTTTTCTACAGTAAGAGAGTATTTGAGGTGATAATGCTGCTAAAATTTTTATAAATGTATGTTTTTAATGTTAACTGAAGCACTTTGGGCAAAAACATTGCAATTAAACGTGCTATATAAATAATTAAAAGTGCATTTCTCACTCTATTAAGCTTGCCAAGTGAACTTTTTAAATTTGATCAATCAACTGGTTAGTGTAATGTTTACTATCTTTACTCACTCCAAACACTCCACACAGTTACTCTGCCCACTCCATAAAGTTACTCCTGCCCAGTCCAACCTTTTCACAGTTACTCCAGCCATTCCAATCACACTACAACAGTTTACTCAAGCCACTCCACCCGGTTACTCCGCCCACTCCAGTTGTAGACTACTGGTGGAGGCAAGAACACTTCACACAATTTACCCAGAAATTGTAGCTTTTCTAGTTAATGAATATAGTACCAAACTAATGCAATATGAACTCACAGTTCATTTCATCTTTCATATGGCATTGATTTTTTTTCAAACCTCATGCAAGATGTAGTTGCATGGGTGTCTCAAGATGGCGTCTGACCGGAAGTGCGTCACCACGTGCCGATGCGTATCGTCACGCTAATCACGTGACTTCATCAGGGCCCCTGATGAAGTTTATATATTTGAACACATTCACTTTATTATATATGCACTGTGTTTATTAGTGACACAGTGGTTGTTTATATGTTAGTTGGGATTTGTGCCTAGAGCACTGTTTTTGGGGGGGTGTCAGGGCTCCCAGGGTATGACCAGAGGTGTGTGACTGAAGCAGGGAAACGCAGACCTCAGATATGTTATAAACAATATAATTTATTAACACTAACAGTACAAACATAAACGCAGTGCAATACTAAACATAATACAGTGCAAACAAACCAAACCAAACCACCCACAGATAACAGTATATACAAGCAAGCGTCGTCAGGCAGGCCGGGTCAATATCAATTGGGCAGGTAGGTACAGGGGGAGCAAGCGGAGAATGGTCGGGGTCACAGGCCAGGTTCAGCAGGTAGCAAGCAAGCATAGTACAGAGGGTCAGACAGAGGGATGGTCAGGGTCACAAGCCAGGATCAGAGCAGGAGAAGTCAGCAAAGGAACAGAAACAGGATGCAGGACAGATACAGGGCCCAGGACAAACACAACACCAAGGCAGAGTCTGCAAGTCTGGCCATCCCTTAAATACACCAGCATCATCAGTCCAGGTGTTAGCTGGCTGAAAGGTTGAGTCTCTGATTGCTGGGAGCACCCGCTGGCCAGCCCTGGTACTGCAGATCAAAAGGCAGGTGAGTCCCACCATTGCTGGCCAGTCCATTCCTAACAGTACCCCCCCCCTCAAGGAGCGGCCTCAGGACGCTCCAAACAGTCCTAGCTGGGGCAAAATGTTCCACCGCCCGGGTCTGGCAACTGGCGGGATATCAAAGACTGGCACACCGGGCAGGACTCCGGGCAGCGGCACACCGGGCTGGACTCCGGGCAGAGGCACATCGAGCAGAGGCACATCGGGCAGAGGCACATCGGGCAGAGGCACATCGGGCAGAGGCACATCGGGCAGAGGCACATCGGCAGAGGCACATCGGGCAGGACTCCGGGCAGAGGCACATCGGGCAGGACTCCGGCAGAGGCACATCGGGCAGGACTCCGGGCAGAGGCACATCGGGCAGGACTCCGGGCAGAGGCACATCGGGCAGGACTCCGGGCAGAGGCACATCGGGCAGGACTCCGGGCAGAGGCACATCGGGCAGGACTCCGGGCAGAGGCACATCGGGCAGGACTCCGGGCAGAGGCACATCGGGCCGCCGGCGGGGCGGGGGAGGGGGCGGGCGCCGGGGGGGGGGGGCCGCGGCGGGCGCCGGGCCCCCGGGCGGACCCCCAGGCGGAGCGACAGGTCTCGGGCCCTCAGCGGAGCGGCGGGCGCCGGACCCCCCCAGGCGGAGCGACAGGTCTCGGGCCCTCAGGGCGGAGCGGCGGGCGCCGGACCCCCAGGAGGAGCGACAGGTCTCGGGCCCTCAGGCGGAGCGGCGGGCGCCGGACCCCCAGATGGAGCGACAGGTCTCGGGCCCTCAGGCGGAGCGGCGGGCGCCGGACCCCCAGGTGGAGCGACAGGTCTCGGGCCCTCAGGCGGAGCGGCGGGCGCCGGACCCCCAGGAGGAGCGACAGGTCTCGGGCCCTCAAGCGGAGTGGCAGGTGCCGGACCCCCAGGCGGAGCGACAGGTCTCGGGCCCCCAGGCGGGGCGGCGGGCGCCGGATCCCCAGGCGGAGCGGCGGGCGCTGGACCCCCAAGCGGAGCAACAGGTCTCGGGCCCCCAGGCGGAGCGGCGGCACCGAGACACCAGGCACGACAGTGGCTCCGAGTCAACTGGTATGACCGCAGGCACTGGGTCAGAATTGGATGGTCTGGCTGGACAGCGGGCATCGGGTCACCAGGCATCAGGTCATTTGGCTCGACAGCGGCACCGCGTCATCTGGCAAGGCAGTGGGCTCCGAGTCAACTGGCATGACCGCGGGCACCGGGGCAGACATTGAATCGTCTGGCTGGACAGCGGGCATCGGGTCACCAGGCATCAGGTCATTTGGCTCGACAGCGGGCACCGCGTCATCTGGCAAGGCAGTGGTCTCCGAGTCAACAGGCACGACAGTGGGCACCGGGTCATCAGGTACGACAGCGGGCTCTGAGTCAATTGGCACGACAGCGGGCACCGGATCAGGTACCGGATCATCTGGATCAACAGCGGGCATCGAGTCAACTGGCCTAATAGGATCGTCAGGCTGGATCAGTTCATCATGCTGGGTAGAGGCTTCAGGCCGAGTACAGGCATCAGGCCGAGTACAGGCATCAGGCCGAGTACAGGCATCAGGCCGAGTACAGGCATCAGGCCGAGTACAGGCATCAGGCCGAGTACAGGCATCAGGCCGGTACAGGCATCAGGCCGAGTAGAGGCATCAGGCTGCGTACAGGCATCAGTCTGAACCACGGAAGGCAGGCTCCCCGGTTTGGATACTGGCAGGATGGTATTGGTTGGAAAGAATTTTCGCTTTTTTCTGGTTTTAACTACTGGAGCACTGCAAGTAAACGCAGGTCTGCAAACGAATGGAGCAGCTGGAGACAGAGAAGAACTGGAGGATGGAACAGGAGAGGAGCAGTTGCTACAGAGGGCTTTTTTACAGGGTTAAAGGCAGGATAGGTGCAGCGAGTGGGAACAGGGTACTGACATGCGGTAGATAGCCAAGTATACTGGGCTGTAACTGGAGGAGCTGGTGGGAATACAGGAGTAGAGTTAGAAGCAGGACTGGGTTTTTGTAAGCTGACTGAGGCTGGGTTCAACAAGTCTGTCCATGTCTGCAGTAGGGGTTGAACAAAGCTGAGCTTACACAAAGCCTGTCTGGTCAATGACTGCACTGCGTTGATACAATCTCTTAGTATCTGTGGTGAACATGTGGAATAACGCTCCAGAAAGTAACCCACATCATCCTCTAATAACCACACCAGGGACTCTACCTGGTCTGCACTAAATGGTGGCAAAAATTCATCCCTGCATTCGGGGGAACCAGATGAAACCAACTCAGCACAAACCCTCAATCAATGGCTGCACCTCAGAGAACACTGTGCCCTGATCTACTAGAACATGAGCGAGCCGTATACATTCTAGCAATTCATCCCGGGTATACTCCTTCAGAGTTTGATAAGCATACTCCCTGTCATCAAACACAAGCAGATATAAATACTCAACCTCCTTCAAGATCCATCCTTCCCATCAACAAGCCAAGATGGCTTTCCCTGTGCAGCCACTTCTGGTCAGGATTGGCCTTGGTGTAATGTCAGGGCTCCCAGGTATGACCAGAGGTGTGTGACTGAAGCAGGGAAACGCAGACCTCAGATAGTGTTAATAAATTATATTGTTTATAACATAACAGTACAAACATAAACGCAGTGCAATACTAAACATAATACAGTGCAAACAAACCAAACCAAACCACCCCACAGATAACAGTATATACAAGCAAGCGTCGTCAGGCAGGCCGGGTCAATATCAATTGGGCAGGTAGGTACAGGGGGAGCAAGCGGAGAATGGTCGGGGTCACAGGCCAGGTTCAGCAGGTAGCAAGCAGCATAGTACAGAGGGTCAGACAGAGGGATGGTCAGGGTCACAAGCCAGGATCAGAGCAGGAGAAGTCAGCAAAGGAACAGAAACAGGATGCAGGACAGATACAGGGCCCAGGACAAACACAACACCAAGGCAGAGTCTGCAAGTCTGGCCATCCCTTAAATACACCAGCATCATCAGTTCCAGGTGTTAGCTGGCTGAAAGGTTGAGTCTCTGATTGCTGGAGCACCCGCTGGCCAGCCCTGGTACTGCAGATCAAAAGGCAGGTGAGTCCCACCATTGCTGGCCAGTCCATTCCTAACAGGGGGTTGGAGAACCTGGGTTAAGTCCCAGTTTGGACTTTGTGTCTTTGCTCAGTGTTTCTGTTTTTACATCAGTATTAGATTGATTCGTTTAGGATCATTTGTGGCACAATTGTTATTGATTGGTCCCATTTTGGACCTTTTTTGGCACTTTGATGCACTAGTATTGTGCGAGTGTGTTATAGACACCTCTTTGCATTATCACGTACAGTGAGGAACAGAAGTATTTGAACACCCTGCGATTTTGCAAGTTCTCCCATTTAGAAATCATGGAGGGGTCTGAAATTCACATTGTAGGTGCATTCCCTCACTCTGAGAGACAGAATTTAAAAAAAAAAATTCTGGAAATCCCATTGTAATGATTTTAAAGAAATTTATTTGTCTTGCACTACTGAACATAAGTATTTGAACACCTGAGAAAATCAGTTTTAATATTTGGTACAGAAGCCTTTGTTTTCAATTACAGAGATCAAACGTTTCCTGTAGTTCTTGACCAGGTTTGCACACACTGCAACAGGGATTTTGGCCCCCTCCTCCACACAGATCTCCTCTAGATCTGTCAGGTTTCGGGGCTGTCACTGAGCGACATGGAGTTTCAGCTCCCTCCAAAGATGTTCTATTGGATTTAGGTCTGGAGACTGGCTAGGCCACTCCAGAACCTTGATATGCTTCTTACGGAGCCACTCCTTGGTTATCCTGGCTGTGTGCTTTGGGTCGTTGTCATGTTGGAAGACCCAGCCACGACCTATCTTCAATGCTCTGACTGAGGGAAGGAGGTTGTTGCTCAAAATCTCACAATAAATGGCCTCATTCATCCTCTCCTTAATACAGTGCAGTCGTCCTGTCCCCTTCGCAGAAAAGCACCCCCAAAGCATGATGTTACCACCACCATGCTTCACAGTAGGGATGGTGTTCTTGGGATGCAACTCATCCTTCTTTTTCCTCCAAACACGACAAGTGAAGTTTAGACCAAAAAGTTTCTACTTTGGTCTCATCTGACCACATGACACTTCTCCCATGCCTCCTCTGGATCATCCAGATGGTCATTGGCAAACTTCAGATGGGCCTGGACATGTGATGACTTGAGCAGGGGAACCTTCCGTGCAATGCATGATTTGAAACCATGACAGCGTAGTGTTCTACCGACAGTGACCTTTGAAACTGTGGTCACAGCTCTCTTCATGTCATTGACCAGCTCCTCCCTTGTAGTTCTGGGCTGATTCCTCACCTTTTCTCATCATCAGTGATACCCCACGAGGTGAGATCTTGCATGGAGCCCCAGTCCGAGGAGACTGACAGTCGTCTTTAGCCTCTTCCATTTTCTAACAATTGCTCCAACAGTTGATCTATTTTCACCAAGCTGCTTGGCAATTGCCCCGTAGCCCTTTCCAGCCTTGTGGAGGTCCACAATTTTGTCTCTGGTATCTTTTGACAGCTCTTTGGTCTTGCCCATGGTAGTAGTTGGCGTCTGACTGACTGTGGAGTGGACAGGTGTCTTTAAAGAGCTCAGACAGGTGCTACTAAGTTAAATTAATGAGTGGAGTAGAAGTGTACTTTTTAAAGGCACAGTAACATGTCTCTGAGAGCCAGAATTCTTGCTGTTTCTTAGGTGTTCAAATACTTATGTTCAGCAGTGTAAGACAAAAAAATTCTTTAAAAATCATACAATGTGATGTCTCGTATTTTTTTTTTTAAATTCTGTCTCTCAGAGTGGGAATGCACCTACAATGTGAATTTCAGACCCCTCCATGATTTCTAAGTGGGAGAACTTGCAAAATCGCAGGGTGTTCAAATACTTCTGTTCCTCACTGTATATGTTTTTGTGTGCATTTATTATAAAATTTGCATATTGATTTATATTAGTAATTTTTTGCATATGTTGATGTAATTTATTTTATTATAAATCACCATTGTCACTTTAAAAATTAATATTAATTTTAAGCTTTTGGGTTCTTATGGTATTAGCGCTGCATCATTTTTGTTGTAAAAAAAAAAAAAAAAAAGAACAAGCCACTTACAGATAGAGAGCTTTCGGTCCAAGAATTGATGCTACAAAAGCTGACACAACACCAGACCCACAGCCAATTTCAAGGCAGAGCTCAACCCTGTAAAAGACCAACACAAAGTGAATATGGTTATGAACAGGCTCAGAATGGCAGGCACGGTTCCATGAGCTGCTTAGCAAATTACCTAGCTGTGAGCTCATCAACTTCTTCTTCCAAGGCATCAATAAATAGAAATGTGTCTTCTGCTGGTTCATAGACTTCAGAAAATTCTCCTTGGCCAACATGTGAATATACAGGGGTAGGGTGCATAGCTTTACTGGAAAATAATTTCAAAAGAAAAATAAATCTGCACTACAAAAGACCCATAATAATCTATTAAAAATGGTTGTAAAGGAGAGAACATTAAAAAAAACAAAAAAAACCCACAACAAGAGACATGTCTATACTTACCTGCTCTGTGCAATAGAATTGCACAAAGTGGCCCCAATCCTTCTCTTCTCGGGTCCCCTGCCCCATTGCAAGCAGCTTGCTATGGAGGCACCAGAGCAGGCTCAATCTGTCTGTCCATTCAGACCTGCTCCTGGCTCCTCCTCTTTTGCTGGTGCCCCCAATAGGAAACGGATTCCCATGAGGGCACTCGTGCGGACTTGCTCCCGAGTCCCACTGCTGTGTCCAATGACACAGACAGTAGGACTCGACCCTGCCCTTCACCACTGGAGTTGATTGAGAGGAGCAGGAGCCAATGGCTCCCGTTGCTATCGATCTGCCCAGTGAGGAGGGACAAAGCCAGGAGAGCTGCAGCTTCAATGCACCGCGCTGGATTGTGATGGGGCTCAGGTACATATAAGGGAGATGAGAGGGCATCGTGATGGATAAGGTTTTTTTACCTTAATGCATTAAGGTAGAAAACCTTGAAGCTTTAGAACCACTCGAAGTTGAAAAGTTGCACAAGTTGAAAGAAGACACAAGTCCATCTACTTCAACCAATAGAATTTTGATCAAACTTATTGCTGTTGGTCTATGTTAGAATGCAGTAAAAAAACACAACAGGTACTTTTAATCTATGTGGACTCAATAAAATGATTAATTCTCTGTAACACAGTGCACCAAGAGGGCTGCTATGATTTGGAAAGATCTGGGGAACTCTTGGGCACACATGGTGTGCCATGAGAAAATGATGCAAGGGTCCACAAAACATTGAACTGTGGCTTAAAGTAAAACTTAAACGTATAAACATTTTGAAAAATAAGGAAGGGTCATAACCTTTGTAAGCTTTTTTGTGCCACCTGAGCCCAATTGGGGAGATTGCTGTTCACTTCCTGTCCCATAACCAAAACAGGAAGTGAAAGGAAGTCCCACCAAAGTGAGGGAATAACCTGGCTGTCATCAGTACTAATGTCTTTCATTGGAGGATTTCCCCTCTATTCCTGTTCTGATGACCTATAAGCACAGGGTCATTTTGCATGTGAAAGAATACCTGTAATATAAGACGTGATGTACAGAGGCAAGAAAAAGCATGTGAACTCCTTGGAATGAACTGCTTTTCTGCAGTAATTTGCCATAAAATGTGCTCTTATCCTAATCATCACAACAGACAAACATAATGTGCTTAAGTTGAAAACACACAAAACAATTCTAATTTCTCCTGTTTCTTATTGAATAATAACCATTAAACATTCACAGTGCTGGAGGACAAAAGTACATGAAACCATTGGAGTTAATAGCAGTCAAACCTCCTTTGGCAGCAATGACTTCAAGCAAAGCAAGTTTCAGTAGCACTGGATCAGACCTGCACAATGTTCAAGAGGAATTTTTAGACCATTCCTCCTTACATCTTTACAAAACTGCTTCAACTCAGAAACATTTGTAGTCTGGTGTAAATGACTTATTCCACCAAATCTCTATAGGGTTAAAGTGATAACAAAGGCTGTATTTTGTTTTTATATTAAACATGTCATACTTACCTGTTTCTGTGCAGTGGTTTTTTGCAGTAGCCCTGATCCTCTTCTTTTAGAGTGTCCCCTGCTGGCACTCCTGGCCCCTGCCCCATGGCAAGCAGCTTGCTATTGAGGCACCTGAGCATGCTCAATCTGTCCATTCAGACCTGCTGTTGTCCACATCGCTAGATCGAGAAGAGGTCCAGGTAAGTATTAGGGGGGGACTGATGCACACAGGTATTTTTTTTTTTACCTGCATGCATAAAATGCATAAAAGGTAAAAGACCTTGAGCCTTTACAACCACTTGAGGTCTGGGCCCTGACGGGGGCCATTCCAAATGGAATATTTGCTTTTTCTGAAGCCAGTCTGTGGTGGACTTACTTTGATGCTTAGGGTAACTGTCCTAATGCATCACCCATCTTCTGCTAAGCTTTAGCTGGCAGACAACCACCCTGACATTATCCTGCAGGATATTTTGGTAAACTTGGGAACTTATTATCCCCCTTGATGATAAGCAATTCAGGCTCCTAAGGCAGCAAAGCAAGCCCAAACCATCACCTTCCCTCCACCATTGGAATGATATTGGTAATCGCTGTTCCCTTTCTGTGCCATATGAAGTGCGGATCATCCTGAACAATTCAACATTTGTTTCATCAGTCCACAAAATTATTTTCCCAGTAGTTGTTGTGGTTTGCCATGGTACTCTTTGGCAAACTTCAGACGTGCAGGAATGTTTTTTTTTTTTTTTAGAACACAGCGGTGTTCTGTTATGGACACCCAGCCTGTTCAAAGACATGTATGGTAGACTCATGAACGGGGATGTTTGCCAGTTCCAGTGATGTCTTCAAGCTATTACTTGTGGGTTCTTTACCTAATTGAGGATTCTGTGTTGTGCCTTGTGAGTCATCATGGCATGGGCACCCACTTCTTGGAAGAGTAGCTACAGTACTAAACGGTCTCCATTTAGAGGCAAGTTGTCTACTTGTCCACTAATGGATGCCTAAATACTTTGAGATTGCTTTGTATCCCTTTCCAGTCTTATACAGATCAGCTACTTCCAATCATACGTCTTCAGAGAGCTCCTTTTAGTGAGTTATGGTTCTCACCCAGCTGATGCTTCTTATGACCAGCAGTCATGAATGATAAGCTCACCTTTAAAAAACAAAACAAGAACATTTTTTTGCAGGTAAAAATGTGCATTTATTTATTTAAATATCTATCTATCTATCAGGAGTCTGTAAAGCACTACATCCATGATCAGCAGGTCATGGGAGCACTGTCAGGCTCCCGCAGACTGTCAGTTTAGTGGTCTGCATGTACCTTTTATGGGCAGGCAAGTACTGAATGGCAGGAACTAGAGTGATCACCAGCTCCCTCGTAGGTCATTGAAAGCTACAAGCCGTCAGCTGCAATGGTTGGCAATAGTTTGTAGTACTCTCATTGTGAATGAATGACGCAGCCAGGTGGGCAGAGGGCCGCTGCACCCAAATTAAATTTACGTCCTTTTTTTCCCCCACAAATAGAGCTTTCTTTCGGTGGTATTTGATCGCCTCTGCGGGTTTTTTTTTTGCGCTATAAACAAAAAAAAAACCAAAATTTTTTAACTTTTTGCTATTAAACATGTCAGCAAAATAATTTTAAAAACCTAATTTTGTCAGAAATTTAGGCCAAAATTTATTCTGCTACATGTATATGCTAAAAAAAAAAAAAAAAAAATCCAATAGCGTGTACAAATGGTGGTATATATACTGGAATTTATTTTAATTTACTAGTAATGGCGGTGATCAGTGACTTATAGCGGGACTGCGGTGGGCATTTTGACACTGGGGGGGAACCGACTTGGTGTCCCTGACATCCCCAGTGACACCAATACAGTGATCAGTGCTAATAAAAAGTACTGACACTGTACTAATGGCACTGGGCAGGAAGGTATTAACATGTGCGGCAATCAAAGTGTTAACTGTGTGCTGTTTCACTGTATGTGTGCTTTACACTTTGTATGGCTCTGCTGTGTGCAGATGACAGGGGAGAGATGTGTTGTTTGTACACAGGTCTCTCCCTCGTCGCAGATACTGGGCCGGAACCCGGCGATAGTCTAGGCCATGAATGGCGGTGCGGGTACAGCACGCATGTGCCCCTACCCAAAGCTGCAAAATCATGTAGACATACGTGATTTTTGCGCCCCCGTGCCACCCTGTAGCATTAATATCTGCTGTATGGCGGCACGGAAGCGGTTAACGAGTGTGTTCAATAAAGACACAAGAAATTAGAATGGTTTGTGTGTTATCAACACAATGGGGGAGATTTACTAAATCTGGAGGACATAAAATCTGATATCTGATTGCAGCTCTGCAAAGAAACCAATCAGCTTCCAGATTTTATAGTCAAAACCTAATTGAACAAGCTAGAAGCTGATTGGTTACTATGCACAGCCACACCAGATTTTGTGTGCAGCAGTTTTAGTAAATCTCCCCTACTGTTTCTCTATTGTTGTGACTTATATGAGGATCAGATCACATTTTATGGCATAAAGCCAGTTAATTCCAATAGGTTCACATGCTTTTGCTTGCCACTGTACTTCCCTCTTTTGTGGCTCATTTGTTTATATTTGTTCCCTCTTATTGCTGCTCCCCTGGCCCCCCCCACAAGTGCTCAGTTTGTAGCCCAACTCCATTTCCTTTACTGCAGTGTTTGCACACTTCAGTCAGTATGTAAACCAAAACCGAAAGCTCTGAGAGCTGATTGGATGGAAGAGACCCCCCCCCCTTCACACAGTTCACAGAAAGAGCTGAGGCTGTTAATCACAAGCTGCGTGTTGGAGGTCCCTCCCCTGCAAACCTTTTAACCCTTTATGTCAGGAAACTTGTCAGAAGTGGTTCATGCTGATAGCAGAGGAACGAACCAGCAGATGAAAATGTCACTCGCCTGCTCCGCATTGGCAAGTGGAAATATGATGGGGGCGAGTGTGTCCAGACTGCAGCAGGTGATATTGACAGCCGGGGATGATCGGTGAAGCGGTGGGGACAGCTACAAAGCACTAATCTCCTTGTAAGGGTTTTCAATGAAGCAGCTGGAAGCCGTAGGAGGGCGAGAGAGTGCTTGTAGCTGTCCACCACAGCTGCACCAATCATCCCCGACTGTCAACTGGACTTCTCTTTCTGGGACCCCCCGTCCTCCATGTCCAGCTCCTCCCCTGATCTCCCACACCAATAGGAGAGAGGCTCGATCTGCTCTGCCTCCCCCTGTGCCCGCCCACACTCCAGTCCGTGCAGCTTATCAGAAGAGGATTGTGTAGGTGGGAAATTGTACAGAGCCGATAGCTGCATATGTGCAGCTCAGTACACATTCTCACACTGTGCCTGTGTGTCAGG